TTCATCATAATTATATTATTAATCTTGAAAACTTAAAATGCATTAATTAGTGTATTTTGTATATTTAGTATTATTGAATAAGGGATTGATATATTTAATTTCATCTTATGTTCTTGGTCTACATAATGCACAATCTTCTGGACATTCTATACATTCATTATTATAAGTAGATTATTTTCTTCCTTTTTAATCATTTTAACATTTAACACAATAATATTGATCATCTTTAAGTATACATTCTACACAAGTATCTGAACAATATTTAATACATATATTCTTATGTAATCTATAACCATTTTAACAAGTTGAACATAGAATTTCATAATCATTAACATTTTAACTTTATGCATTTAGGATAAATTAATGTGTATTTTTAATTTCAATATACTTTTTATAAAATGCTCTGATATTTTTCTTCCAATGATCTTTAATAATGGAATGTTATGAATAACATGAAATACAATTAAGTTGAATTGGACATTATATACATTAACCAGTTACTTATTATGCATAATATCCATTTTAACATTCTAAACAAGTATAATAATATTATATATTAGTTTCTAGACAGACTTAACAATTTTTAATTTATTAATCACATTTATCCATAAATTCAACTATTTAGTTTTCATAATAATATGATTTTAAACATATAACTGTTTCTAATGATTGATCATTTATATTAAGTGAACCTATTCCAATATCACATTAAGTATTTATATTATTATAAACACAAGATTAAGTTTCAAATACAAAAACATAATTTGGTTCACATTTAGCACATAATAATTTGATCTTATTTAAATCAAATTAAGGTATAAAGTTGATATCAAGTGTATTAATTTTGTAATCATCTATAAGTGTTTAAAATGAATGAACACAATGAGGTATAACATTAGAGATGCAATTAATACCATCCAAAGAAATAGAATATTAGGAATTATCAATACATTTTAAACATTTTAAATAATTATATCCCAAATTTTAATCGTAATAATCTTTACAAACATCACAACGAAGTCCACATTACTTACATACTCCATTTTATAAGGCATAAGATTATATACAAGCATCACATGTTAATATAAATGAAAAAGTGTTTGTACAAGCATAACAATTAAGAGGACAAGCATCACATCCCGTATAATAATTATTATAAGTACCTATAGGACAAATATCACATGATTTTAGAATATTAACTTTTAAACAATTAAGACCTGGATTTATACATTCTCCATAATCATTATCATAATCTTTATAATAATAATTAGGTTTGCATTCAGCCCATATTGTCTTTCCAAGATGGGATTTTGAAAATTCATTACATTGCCCCTCTTAACAATAATAAGCATATTCAGGATTTAAGTGTAATGCTCTATCTGATTCTATTGAATAAACATCATTTTGAATTTCAGTTCTTTATATCAAATGATATGCTTCTTACTCATATACAACTTATTTTATTGTATAATAATCCATATTACAAACTGGTTCTAAATACCAAGTAAAAGGATAAAAGTAGCAATTTGCACATAAAACTGCTTTGAAATTACTGAATTAAGGACTAAAATATGATGATTGAATAATACCATTCCAAACAATCATAACCATTCCCATCATCTCTAGGCAATCTAAAATTCCCTATTGGACATATCACTTCTGAATCAATTGGTAGTTCTTCTAATTGTATTGAGGAATAAAATTTATTATCACATATAGAGGTACCCTTATCAAAATACCCTGAATTGCATTTGCACATTTTTAATTCATCTTAATAAAATCTATTGGAATTAGGATCACATGTTTAACAATTTTAATCTAAAGGTCCATTACAAGTAAAACATGTATAATGACATTCTAGAATAATTTATATAAATACTCATATTAAATAGTTTATCTTCTTCATAATTATACTAAATTTTAAAATCATAAATTAAAGCTTCAAGAAATTATTGATTTGTATTTGGGTTAACAATATCTCCACCAAAAAATACATTAAATCTTGAATTTGTAAAAGATCCACTAAAGATATCATTTCCAAAATTTTATTATAATATTCCTAAATCATTAGAAAATTTAATCTATAAAAACATTCTTTCTTCTATATTATTTCTTCCATATTCATATTAAATATAATGCCATTATTATAATCCTTCAAAATAAAGTTAAGTATTCAAATCTTAATATATTCTTTTTACTTATAAAACACTATAATCTGCATTTACTGTTCCTTAAAATAATAGATCATATTATGATTGAAATGATTATTTCACAGGCATACCATAAGCATCAACATTTATAATTAATGATGTTTATTCAGGATTTATTTTTGAAATGAAAACTTCTATTCTAAATAATTCATCTCCAAGCATAATCTCTTATTCATAATTATATTAACCAGATATCTTTAACAATGTATATCTATTTTCATTTATTTTTGGTAATGTATATTTAACCCATCCCTATAAACAATATCTATTTCCATAATGATCTATAAATTGTTATAAAACTTAATTTCCCTCAAATATTTTTAAACCAGTTATGATATTAATTGTTTATTCTCCAATTATTTTTTATGGAATTTTGCAATCTGATATTTATTATGTGAAAGTATTTGTTGAATAAACAAATTTAGATAAATAAATTTATTTTGAAAATTTTCCTCTAAATGAGTTAAGGTTCAAATTATCAATCTAAATAAATTATATAATATGTTACATATCCTCTTCCTCCAATACTTATTTGTAAATTTAATTGATTTTATAAATCAAAGTTTGTCGATTATTTTTCTTAACTGCTCACTTCAACAATAATTAAGTTTAAACTTGGCTATAACAATATTAAATGAAAAATCCAAATTCCTTCATATTCTAATGATCCAAATGAAAATATTAATGTTTTACTAATATCTTAATTCATGAATTTTATTATATGTTTGACCTGTCTGTTTTCATAGTCATATGATTTAAAACCATAAATAAAGTTTTAGCTTAGAATAGAATCTTTAACTAAAAACAACAATTCTCCATTATCTGACTCATCATTTTTAAACGGCTCATCTCTATTTACAGTTTCAAGCTTCTCAAGCAATGGAATACTGATACTCCAGAATGCAAATCCTAATGTATTTTAGTTATCGTTATCATTAATGGATTCTGTGTAGCTTTAGGTTGATGTCTCCATGATTAAAAGAGCATCTTTATAATTAGTGAATGGACATGTAGATATACACTCTACAGTAATCAATTATTGTAACAACAGAAGAGCTATACAAAACTATATTGAGATCTGTTGAATCATTAATAAAAAAATATTTTATCTCTTTTCTAATTTTAAAATATAAAGCTGTTATTTATATGAAATTTGTATATCTTAAAATTTGATCTAAAAAATAATTATATTATTATTATTATACAAAAGCCTTCTGATAAAACTAACTTATTTAATTCAAAATGTCAGTTCAAGTATATAATCTAGTAATGAATAGATAAACTAATAACTAAGTAATTAGAGATTATAAAATATGAATATATTTGAGATTAGATTAATGAATTGAGTTTATTTTCATAAAAAAAAGATTTAATTAATTTTGAATAAATAAGAGAGATAATGACATTTATAGTAAAAACCAGAAAAGTATTACTTAACAAGCTCTTAAATAGAAGATAATTAGTAATAAAATAGTTAATAAAAGAGTGTTGAATTACTTCATCCAAATAAGCCTACTCCATCTTAGGAATCAGTTGTTAAGGAATTGGCTCAAAAATATAAGGCTGATGAAAGAAATGTGGTAGTTTATGGATTGAGAACATCATTTGGAGGAAACAGAACAACAGGATTTGCTTTGATCTACGATACATAATAGTATATAATAGAGTAATAATGTTAGATATTTATTGAAATTTGAACCAAAATTCAGATTGAGAAGAAGAGGCATAATACCAAAGAGAGATGGAAGCAGAAAGGGATGGAAGGAAGTAAAATCTAAGTTGAAGAAAACAAGAGGATCTGAAAAAACAAAAATCTATATGTCAAGAAAGACAGACAAGAGGGAAGTTATTAGAGCTTAGAAAGAGACATATCTTAAAGGTTTTGTAGGAAAGTGATAGCAATTTATTAAATTAAAAAGAGTACATTATATAAAAATTATATATAAATAATGATTCTGATTTTATGGAAGAAGTGAGAGGATGATTATTGTTATAATATAATAAATAAAATATCGTTTTTGATTGATGAGATCCACAACCAGAAGATCAGAATAAGTGATAACTAGTCAATATGTAACTCCTTAAGGGATTTGTGATCCAGAATAAGCTAAAGCTATAGCAAAGAAACTCTTTGATTTATATGATAGAGATAGAAATGGTATAATTGATGGTCAAGAAGGTAAGATAGAGAAAACTTAAAGTAGTTTCACCAATGTTAGTAGATGCTTATAGAGGAATGAGTAAGGCCTTTAATCCAACACAAGTAAAATATAATATTGAGAACAGGCAGATGTAGATACATTCGTCTAAGTTTTGGATGTCAATAGAGATGGCAAGATCACATATTAGGATGTAGAGAATTATGCTTTGCGCATACTAGTTCAAAATATATTAATTTATTTAGGCTGGTATCTAACCATTACCTTCTTACAGTATCCAATTACCACCTTAGAGATAATATAATAGAATGGTTGAAGAGAGATTAGAAGTAGCTAGAAGATTATTTAAGAAATTTGATGTCACTTAATGTGGATTCTTGACAAGAAATGAAGTATTTAAAATAAAGACATCGTTAGGTTCCAGGATTATTGAGAGAAACTTATAAGTAATTGAATATTGAATTTGAACCAACACCATAAGATGTTTAAGCTTGGATGGATATGACAGATACAGATTGTGATGGCAAAGTTGCTTTATAGGATTTCGAATAATCAATTATTAGGTCTTTGTAAGAATAGGGTATATCCCTTTATTGAATGAAGAATATAAATTAAAATATTCAATAATTAAATGTAAGGGATTCTTTTGCTACAATAGCAATTTCCAAAACAACTATTCCTCATTTTATCAAAGGAATTAGATCCATCTGACAAATTAAAATTAGAATTGGAATAAGTGATCGATTCACTTTTTATAACTATCAAGCATTTTATAAATGAAATCAACAATACTAAACCTAACAATTCTGATAATTATTCTAAGTACAATTGATCTTCATTTTAGATAATTACTATTTGGTCAAACATTAGATATTCAAAATGATACATGGAAATAACATTATGATGACCTTAATAATGAGTTTCTTATACTCAAAGCATGTAATTAACAAATTGAATTCCAGAAATAAGAACTTTAGTAAAAGTTAATCGATTAACGGATTAAATATGAAGACTTAAATAGATAAAAAAAAGAAGACAAAGATAATTATAGATAACAATATGAAACACTTAAAAAGAAAGCATAGGACAAAATTCATAGATTAAAAGATAAAGTTATTCTTTTTCAAACTTAACTTTAAACATATGCAATTGAAAGTGAACATCTTAGAATTATTGCTTAAGAAGATAAACTCAATTAACCATCTTCTGTTAAATTCAAATTACAGAATATTCTTAAAGAATTGAATACTCTAAGACAAATCTCTAATAATTTACTATTAGAAAATTCAAAAATTATCATTTAAGCAAAAGAACAATTATAATTGTGTATGATTTATAAAGACATTTAAGGAACCATTATTAAAAGTAATAAGACAACACCAGATACAACTAAAATTAAATAATATTATTCATAAACTTAATCTATTCCTAATAGTCCTGATAGAAAATTAAAAACTGAAAAACCATCTCTAATTAGAATAGTTAATCCTAAAAGAACTTCAGTAAGTAAAAACCTATTAGCAGAATTTGATGTTTCTACTTAAATAACTAAATTCATTAAATAATATTATTAAACTGATCAATAATTAAGAAATAGTACAGGATTTTAATAAAAATTGATATGATAATTTACTAATATTTTTTATATATTTAACTTATATTAATTTAAAATATAATAGTTATTAGTATTAATTGTTCTACTCTAATAATTAATACTATTATGAAATAGAGATAATTAATTAATTCTAATCTATAAACTATTGATTATTTGAATTTATATAATCAAAGACATCCATATTCTGTTTGTGATAATCCAACTATGGCTCCTAAAATTAGAAGTATATTAAATAAGCCTGATGCAGCATATGCTATTTTCAAAATGGATTCTTTTTCTTTTTAATATGCAACCATAATCACAATGTAGGCTAATTTATAATTTATAAATACCCACAAAATGAAGATAACAAATCACAATTGAATAAATTCTAGGTTAGTATAATAATGCCATTCCAATAGGTATAATGTGATATCCAAAAAAAATAGTGAAAAATTTATTCAATGCTTCTACACTGATCAATGAAGGTTTGACCTGATTATAAATTATTATATAATTACTTAAGATTGAGTTGGAGGAGCAGCTCCATCATTATGTTAAACTGGTTGAGATATTTCTTACTCAGGATTTTAATAATATGATGCAATACTAATAACCATATATATTAAATAGAGAAGAAAGAGTTCGACAAATATTCCTAGAGATTTAAATTGAAAGTACCTTTCCTCATGGGAGTAAAATCTTCTGTGCAAGTGATTGTTTCAGGTATCTCTGACATAATATTTGAATTTGTTTTCTTTTAGTTAATAAATATAAATGTATTATAACAATTTTGATTTAATAATTTTCAATTCAAATAATGATAAATATTCCTAATAAATTTTTAATATTGATAAATACCAGTCTTTCTCATCTCTCCTAATGTATTCTCTTTCAATCAAATTTTCTATTCTCTTTTTGATGAATAATATATCAGGTTTAAATATTGAAATCATTTATTAGCAATTTTCAAGTAATTCATGATGTTTAATAGTCTTTTTTGATTTCATCAATCTAACCAATTAAGAATCAACTACAAATTCCCTTTATTTGTTAATTTATTCCATTTATTATAATTCTTCTTGATTTTATTCCTTGACTTTACTCTAGATAATAAATAAACACTTTTTTACAATTCTTTTTGGTTACATTTTAGGATTAGGTAATATTTTAATTTTCTTTGCTCTATTATTGAAACTCATATTCAATTTTAATATTTCATTTTCATCTGAAAAATCTTCAATATCTTATTTATCTCTTTAAATGATTTTCATGCAAACAAAAGGAATTAATGAATTTTCTAAATCTATTTTATCTATTTTAGTCATTTCCAAGATATTTTTGATTGAAAATGAAACTCCTTAATTGAATATTAGAAAAGCAATCATTTACATTGTATTTACATTCAAATAATATTTTTCTGCTTATATTTTATATATTAATTCTCCTTAACCCATATTAAAACACCAAGTAAGTATTCTTCCATTATGTTTTTCTAAATACAATTTTTCATAATTTCTAAATTTATTATTAAAAATACTCCAAAACATGTTAAATATGAAGTGGCTTAATTATACTATCTTAAATAGAATTGATTGGCCAACATCCTTATGATAATAAAAAAACATTCAAATCAAATTTAGTATTCTTATTAATTTATTAATCAGATGCAAATCTATTAGATTATTCAATATCATTTATCATACTGGATAATTGAGTTCTAAATATGATTTAAATAATTACAATACATTAGTACCAGTTTCTCCTTTAAATTTTTACAAGAGTTATTTCTCTAATTAAATATTTTATATTTATTGATTTAGTAATCTATTTGATAAGAATTTTTAATAATGTCTAAAGAATACATCTCTTTAATAAAGTAATTGAAAGAGAGAAACAATTTTACTTAATCTTTTATCTGTTTCCATCTCATTTACTCCCTTATCACTTTTTATAATGATATCAGTATAAATGGCTAACCAAATAGGTGATTTCTCATTTTTATTTATCACTAACATAAATGCTCCACTATAAGATTTTTAAATTTCTGGTTCATCTTATAATTAATTTTTTAATATATTTTAAGCTTTTTCCATTACTTCTAACATTCTAGTAAAATATAATTCAGCTTCATCTATTTTTAAATATATTATAATCATTACGCATTTAACGACCATCTTTAATTTATTATAATTCTTGTTCAATAGAATTATTAATTAATTATCCTTATTATTCAAAAAAATTTTGATAAGCCTTTGCAATATGAGTAATACATTCCTTAGTTCTGTATATAAATGAAAATAATTATTTTAATTCTTCAGTTTTGTCATATTATAACATATAACCTACACCTGTAGGTGAATCTACCAATCTAGCTGCTTAATCTTTGACTAATATCATTTTTAGTTTATTTTCAATAGCCTATTAACTCTTTGGATAACATTCTATACACATACTCAATTCCAGTTTAAAAATGGAATTTCCCCAATTAACAAATTCTGGAGTAGTAAATTTTTATTTATTATCTATCTCTTCCTTGTAGAATTTGGAAGTCTATATATAAATGAATTTATAGTATTACTTCAGTCAAAAGATGAGATTAGAATTGTTCTTTATAAAATCTTTATGCATCTTCTTGCTTTTTGCAAATATAATCATATTCTCCAATTTCTTTCATATACTTTAATTCAACTTCTTTAGAACCCATTACAGAATACAATTGAATAAGTTGTTTGATTTATTTATTTAACAATATTCCATTTTTTCTTGTTTCCTATATAAATTGTAAAATCGTATTCAAAATTAATTTATTACACTTATCAAAATAACCTTCCTTTAATAATTTTAAAGAAGTAGTACACAAAGTAGTTCCAACTGATGGCATAATAAATTTATCCAAATAATAGAACATTTTGTATAGCCAATATGAATAAGCCTTGTAATCATGGTATGTTTTTGATACAATTTATAGTACCTGAATATATTAATACTTATTTATACACTCTCTTTCTCCCCTGAAAATTCATTAAGTCTCTGATAGATATCAGCAATGAATTCATTCAAAATTTCTTGAAAGTAATCGATCAATTCTTAATCAATTTTCTCTACTCTATTATTATTTTAAGGCTTGGTCGAATTCTTATATGCTTAAGCATTTCCAACTTCATTTGTCAAAGCATAAATAGAACTTAAAATTTTAAATACGAGTACTCGAAAATATACATGATATCTTTAGGTGAAATTTTTATTTCACATCCTTCCAACAGGCCTAATCTTATTTTTTTTGTTGCAACTTAACACTAATTTCTGATTTTTTGTAATTTCTATTGGTATTAATTTTATTTTTCAGTTCCCTCTATTTTTTTACTCATTATTATATTTTATATCTAAAAAGAAGCAATAAACAATTGGAAATAAATATTTTCAATCACTTTTTAATCCAGCTTGGAGTCAATTTATGAGCTATTTCTGGTTAAATTTGTAATTCCTCTATGAAAATCATTGAAATGAATATTACCTTTGTAGAAATCAAAGAAATTAGGCAAATTTAAATGTCCATCTCCAAAATTTGGTTATCTAATTTCATCAAAATAAGGATGTAGCAAAGCTTCTAATGGTTTCAATCTATCACGAGGAGAATAAACCAATATTTTGCTTACGAAATCGATAAAATGAGGTTCTGTTTTAAATTTACCAAATACCTAAATAATATAAAAATTATGTACTTTAGCCCAAGGATGACACTTAATTTAAGGAAATTTAAATTATTATTGTTAAGGATTCATTTATTTGATTTAATCTATAGTAGGTGTTCCTAAAATTTTGATTATTTCAACTAATTAATCAGTAGCACTTTCTCCTGGAAACAAGGGTTCACCTAATAACATTTCTGCAATAACACAACCTATTAATTTAATAGATAGATAAATACCAATTGACCACATATCTATGGCAGTTGTATATTCAGTTGCTCCAAATATTAATTCTGGAGCTCTATAATATCTTGAACATATATAAGCAACATTAGGTTCTCCTGCAACCAATCTTTTAGCAGATCCAAAATCGCATATTTTTAATACATGATTAATAGGGTTTACTAATATGTTTTAAGGTTTAATGTCTCTGTGACAAATGCCAATTCCTAAATTGATTTGATCTCAATAACCTTATAAATATGCCAATGCTCTTAACATTTAGTAACTGTAAATTTTGAGTGATTGATTAGGAAATGGCTTTTTATTGTTCTTGAAATTCCTTATAACTTTGCTAAGAGTTTCTGGGATATAATCCATTACTAAATTCAAATAGATATCTTCCGTCTACATTAAATTTAATATAAACATTTTTGGCATTGTCTCCTTAGGTAAAGAAAGCCTACCTTAATTTCACAATGCATGGATGATTCAATTCTGAAATTATAAGATGCTCTCTATTTTTGTATCTTCTATCTTAATACACTTTCTTTATAGCCACCTTCTCATTTGTTTTAGTATCAATAGCCTAAACAATCTATTTCTCATTTTTACTAAATAAACCATGCCAAATGTTCCATTACCAACTACTGAACAGATTTGATATTAATTAGATAGTTTATTTCCATTCTAAATTTGGTTATCTTAGGGAGTATCATCAGCTTAAGTGACTAATCGTTATTTCATACTTTATAATATTTAATTAATATGACAAATTTAATAGGGAAACAAATTTAATAAAAATAAATATATATGTCATTCATAAATCGGATTCATATCTTTTTTCAGTTTTAAGAAATGTAAAGTCTCGATTTTCACTTTATAGAGATGTTTCATAATTTCCTTTATAAAAAAGCAAATCGTTATATTAATTAATCTAACTACTTTATGAGATACTATGATGACTAATTTGTATTTAATCAATATAACTATCTTATCTGGATTAAATTTCACATTCTTCTTATAAAATATGATTTTAACTCTTTTAATATCTAAAAATTAAAATATAAATTTTACCCATTTTCTGAAGGATCTTAAAGAGATATGTCACTATCAGTAAATTGATGATCATCTTAATTAAGTTTCTTAATAAGACTCTAACTGAATTATTACCAAGTTTTAAATAAGATTAAAACATTTAAATAGTCATGAAGTAAATTGATATTAGTTTGTATAGTGATAGCAGGACCAATATTTGTTCTTGGGATATTTTTGTTTTTACGATAATATTTGAGTCTAAATTATTATTCTTTATTAAATTATTTAATAAGTTTAATAGATTCTGGAGTACCTTAAGTGAATACTTCTTAATAAAAACATCTTCTAAATAATTCATACATAAGTGAATTATATTGGATATAACCATGACAATCACTAAAATTATAATCAAAATTAATACCATTATAATTTAAATTTGGATGATAATTTACAAGCATCCCAAAGATTGGAATCTTAATCAACTCCAAGTGGGAGACCAATATCCATAAGAAATTTACCTAAAAATTTATAATGCATAGTTTATCCTTAAGTTTAAGTAGTGTATTTACACCAAATAGTTTTGATGTTATCAACATTTTCAACATATGTTTGGATTTAAGAATTCTGCATTTAAAAGAATTATTCAAATTGTTCTATTAATCCTAAGACAAATAGATTAAGGAGAACATAATTGGATAAAAGCATAAATAGTATGAAATATAATTGATTTGCAGTAGATCCACAATATTATGGATCTTCTTAACATAATGGATTATGTTACATTGTATCAGTCATGATAGTTCTCCAATCATCTCCAGATGCACATTTAAAGAGTGCCAACATAGCATTTCCAAAATTGGTAAAATTAATGAGATCATCCATTACTTAACCTGAATCTATTTTACCATATAATTGACATCCAAATAAAGCAAATATAAACATAGTTATGATAAGTATAGTGAATATTTTAACTAGATATGGTACAGCAAATGCCATAACTCTAATGAGTCTCTATATATTGATAAGTCCTTAGAAAATGAGAATGATTCTTAGACTTCTTAATGCAAAGAAGAAACGATATAGTTAATAATACTAATCATTAGGAGATGAATAGTAATACAATTTTGTCCAATCAGTTATATAATGAGCAATTAAATCAATCATTCCTATAAGTATTAAAAAGAAGTAGAATCTTCTCCAATTATTATCAAAAAATCTATTTACACCCAAAGCTAATACTAATAAAATGATCCAAAGAAGATATATAATTGTTAAAACATTATGTAGTGAATTTATAACAAGAAAGTAATCATTATCCATTTAGGAACTAAATAACAATAAAATAATTAGATCCATAATAAAAAATACAAATATACAATATTTGACTTTTGTATTATTAACAATATCTGATGCTATTTTACGAGTTCCACTTTTTGGAGGTGCAGAATAAATAGGAAAGTCTGACATTATAATATTAGTGATCTTTTTGAATTCTTGTTATACTTAACTCATTTCATTATTTTGCATTTTAAATTAATTCTCTTTTAAATTAGTAAATAGAACTCCAGTAAATAAACTTAAAAAGAACATTGATCCAATAAAGCAAAATATAATTAAAAAGAAATATGTCTAAATATAACCATCAAATGGAACTGGTCCTGTCTATACAGTCTAACTATTTTCAGCTACTTATAATATCTCTCCCCAACCATCAAAAGTAGACACTACAAATAAAGTAGGTATAGCAACAGTTATATTATCAAAATTATGTTTATAATTCACCCATGTTTTATTTTATGATAAACACTACTTTTAAGAAACATAAAATTCCATCTTGTCTTCACAAAATCCAAATTGATTCTCATATAAAATGATACCATAAACACCAAATACCATCCATACTGAAAGTAGAGTAATCAAAACATTTAAAATATCTATCAATGCCTATGCCAATGCAGCCCTTAATTAAATCAACCAACTAATTCTATACATTAATTTCATTGGTCTAAAATAACCTAAAAACATCAAAACATCAACTATTGGTGCATAATTGCTCCTATTATATTGTATAAAGTATGAAATAATATAAATAATATCAACAATTTACCAAATATTTTAAATATGTGATCCTTTATCTAATATTAAACCTTTGGCAATTATATTTAAACAGAAATCAATAAATATCAATATATTAATTATTAATTACAAAGTATCAGGTAGATCAGAAGAATCTATCTCATAATCATGATATGTCTTTATTATAAATACAACAATAGACCAGTAAATTATTCCATCCATCAAATATATATAGAATGGTGATATCACTAATTTAGTTACACTAATTCTCAAAGTATTGGTTTTATCAAATAAATACAATGATTATTAGCACTATATCTCATTATAAATTGAAGCCTTCTTCATTTGAATATTGTGATATGCTTATTTTATTGAAATTAATAAATTCGAAATCAAACTTAACTTATATCTTTTTGTTGTTAAAATCTCCACATCCTTAATCTCCTCTTCATCATGTATTACTTCATGTTAATCAGAATACATAGAATTCTATATACTTAATTTATCATCTTCTTTTATAATCTCTTCCTCATTTCCTAAATATTTTCCAAATCCATCTAACAATATAGCCAACACTAAACCATAAGTTAAATAATTTAATATTATCACCATTGAATATGAGTATATAACAGCAAAAATGTAATTCAAACTCCCTCCCATTACATAAACACCATACCAATCATCATTTGTCATTATGTTGAAAATTGTCATAAATGATTTTATTATATTATCAAATGAATGTAATTATCCTAAAGTATCTTATTAATCAAACATCCCTGCATACATTTCCATTCCTATTAATGCATACATGAATATAACTAAGAACATTAAAAATGTCAAATAAATGTATTATTCAAATGTCTTTTATGCTATCCATCCTATCTTGGTTGCCATCTTATTATATTTTAGACATCGATAAAATAATAAACATTTTGTCCCTCTAATCAATCTCAATCCTTATTGTGTTGAACTTCCAATCTCATCCCCTAATGTTAATTCTACAAAATTTATTGAAACTATTAATATTTGAACTACATGATTCCAATCACTCATTAATTCCTTACAATTAAATGAAAATAACTTCATTACTATCTCTATACATAAACATATTGTTGTTATATCCTCTATTTATGATATCAATTCAGGATTGAGAATCCCCTACAATGATAAAAATACAAAGTTAAATAATATTATCAAATCAAAGAACAATTCACTAAACTTACTACTTACAACCATATAACAATATTTTTATGCAATCTTAATCTTACCACTAATTCCTCTTAACCATATCTTCTTATCCTAATAATTTAATTATTTCTTTATTTAATTAAAACTTATGAATCTTGTCAAATTCTAATACAGTACATCTCTTCCAGACCAATTCTTCTTATTTATTGTTTTACTAATCATTTCCTTCTTCCTAATTAATCCATACCTAAATTCATTAGATTCAGAATTATCAGGAATAATCTATATCTTTGCATTTATTTTCTCACTTACTGCTTCATAATCAATATATTATTCCTATATCAATACATATGTCTTTTATTTATTTGTAACTGTAAATGGAAGACCCTTCAGAATATTTCCATGCTTTGAATTATTTAATTAAATTAAGTGCTATCTATCTACATTATAATTTTGATTCTCATCTGCTTTTTCTAATGTTCTATCTTATCTTAATGTATTTAACAATCTCTTATCTTTTTTCATTGGTAATTTACTCTTTTATATTAAAGGTTTTTTCTTTTATAACTTTCGATTTGACAAGGAATAAGTTTACTTTAAGTGAATTGTACGTCTTTATTATATTAATTATTTTAAACTTTATTCCTTCAAAGTCTATTATTTTTAACTTAAATCAAATAATATATTTACGTTTGTGCCAATAATATATCTTCTACACTATTAAATTCCTAATAGATCTCATAATTTGGATATGGTTTTAATTAATAGAAATCATATTACAATAACTTATGAATCAATTTCAATTCTAAAGGGTCATCTGTATAATTAGTAGCTTTAATATCTTTCTAACTTTATTCTAATTATTTAAATCTTGGAAGCAACAAATATTTCAAGTTAAACTTATCCAAATAATCTTAAATGCCCTTATTTCTCTAAGATTTAATAATTATAAAATTACATAATCGAATTTAGTTTATTTACCTGACAATGTTCTTGGTTTCTAAGATGTTTTTAATTCTTTATTAATTTTTTCTATTGTAAATTTTTAACTGATATTAGCTGTTTGTCGTAATTCTAAATGACACTTTTAATATTATTAATATATTCCTATATATTTTAGAATGGCAACATCAAAGATTGAAACTAAATCTCTCTCTGGATTTTCTTGCTTTTCTTTCAACCTTTTTAGCATTTCTTAATTTATTTCCTCCTAGACAGTCTCTTCTGCTGCCTCAGCATAATGTGTCTTCAAAACTGCAATGACCAAATTAAAACCAAAAAAGCCTCCCACAAATATTATCAACAAATAATAAATCCATACGTAAGGATGATAAATTCTCATTGTAAAAAACATTACCCAACTCCAATCATCCATTGTAATCGTTCTTAATATCTATCCCAATGCATATACAATATTATTAAATGATGTTGGCATTTTAGGTGTCTAATTAGAATATAGGCATTTCATCCCTTCAGGACAAGTTTCTTACACACATTAAATCCAATCTTCAGTCTCCTCTCCATTTTCAAATTAACATCTATAATTAAATAAATTCTAAAATAACAAAACTCCAAAAACCCCAAAAAATAAAGAAAATAAACCTACTATAATTAATGCCTCTAAGAGTAATTGTATAGATGATTTTAATGCTTTTAACATAGTTGATAATCCTTTAAGTATATCTCCCAAATAATTTAATAGTGTGATCATTCTAAAAGGAGATAAATCTATAATAATAATATCTGGTCTATATAGATTCAAGGTTGTTAAGATCACTAAAAGAAAATCGTAAACATTCAATGGACTTCTAAAAAAGCTCTATTTATTCAAAATTACACCTGATGCTATGATTCTCATACCAATTTCACTTAAAAAAAAGATTGTAATGACTTATTCGATGTCATCAGTATCTGTTCTTTTATTAGTTTTCACAAAAATAAATAATCCAACATTGCATAAAATAAGTACTGTCATAAATAATTTGAAAAACACAGTCTATAAAATTGATTCAAAAATTATAGAAGGAAGATAGCAAATATAAACGATTATCTTTCTTATATCTAAAAATTTATTTTTATCATGATAATGCTAAATAACAAGATAATTTTACACACAATTCATAATTTAATCTATTATAACTACTCAACGCTTTCAACTAAACATAATAAGGATCTTTAAATGGATTTCTCTAATTGAGCTTATTATATTTTCGTTTTATTTTTTCTAAATCAATTTTTGCATCAAAAATTTTCGATTATATTTATAATGCTTCCTTTAAAAAATTTTCTTAATTTTCATAATCACCAATAAATAAGTTTTTTTTTTATTTCTTTGACTTTTAACTGTTTTACTCTTTTTTGAAATCAAATTACGATTGACTATCAATTGATTAATTGAATTTATCTACAATATTTATGGAAGGTAAAGAGTCTTCTGTAAAATATTGGCTACTTAAACAAAATGATTGATCTAATTCTCTTAAGAATTAATAATATTCTACCTTTCTTCTATAATTTTAGAATGAGAAGCAGGAATTTTCAAAATTGAAACTTGCTAGGAAAACTTGAATTGGTTGATTGAGTTTCTATTATCAAATTTGGTTTATTAATTTGAATCTATTTCATTGATTTTACTACCTTGATAAAGTTATGCTAATGATATTGAACGACTTGCAATTTCAGAGGATATTGTTATTCTCCTTTGCATTATTTTCTGATTACTTGACATGCTAAAGTCTTCTTATAATAATTAATAATTAAATTAAAAATTTGTCTTACTTTATAATCAAATTCAGTAATAATGAGAAATAATAAAGCAGATTTTCTTAAATACCGCAAATTCCAGAAAATAATGTTAGAAAAGTATTTTAATTGTTTTTCAAGTAACTAAACAGAATAAAATTATTATTTAGTAATATATATTTATAATTATTCATGCCCATTTTTTTAAGTTCCGTCTATCTTCTAACTAACTCTATTCCTTTTCAATAATACTTAATGTATTAAAATTCGACTCAAAATCTTGAATTGATTATCCGACCTAAAAACAATTTGTTTAGTCAATGCTTTTGTCTTAATAAATACTTGTTGTTTCTTTTGATTTCAAACCAGACTATATAGAACTAGATGTTCGATTACAAGATGAATTTCTACTTTTTCTACCAGAGCAAGTTTTATAATTTTCAATGAAGAAGAAATGTTTTTCAGAAAATTTATAAATTAAACTATTAGTTTTTTTAATTATTTCCTCTCCTTTATTAGACATATCATTTATTCTAATGACTGAGTATTCTTATTTCTAAGCCCAGAAATTAGTTGTTTCTTATAGCGTTTGTTTAACTTTTAAGGAATTTTCATCAAAAGCATTTGAAGTAGAATTAAGTTTTAATTCAAATTTAGTATAATTTTTAGAATAATATTGCGCCTAATTTAAATACAGAATTATACTTCCTATTTAATTTCATAAAAGTGTTTGCCTAGTTCCTTGAGTAAAGCATATTGATTTTATAAGTCGCTTTAGAAGTGAGACATATGATAATGAATTCCATTGAATAGATCACTATTATATTAGCGGCTAATTTAAATCATTTCATTATTGAATGATTCAAGAGCCTTACTCTGACGTTTTATGAGCTATTTAAATAATTTATAGTCTTTGTGTTGTTAACTAAGTTTATCTATTAGTTCTCTAATAATATAAGTTTAATTTGACATAATAATTAAATTAAAATTAGATATATGTATAATTAAGCTTTATGTCAAGAGAAGAAGTTAATTGTGATAATTTATATGATGAAAAATTTGTATATAGTTGTAGTATAATGATTATAATAATTAATATTACGGGTTAAGACTTCAAAAATTTAATTAAAAGAATTAAAAGATATGAAATACATCCTGACTGAGGAGCATGTTACAATTCCTGAGAAGATTGAAATCACAACCAAATCCAAGTAGGTCAAAGTAAAAGGTATTTGTGCATATTAAGTAATATTAGGACCAAGAGGTGAATTGATCAAAAACTTTAAACATGCTGCTTTAGATATCTAGGTGTAAAAAAAAGTGAACAAAAAATCAAATACTACTAAGTCTAGAGTCAGTGTTAGAATGTGGCAATCATATAGAAAATAAAGATGCCAAGTTAATTCAGTTGCCTCTTCAATTAAAAATATGATTAGAGGTGTGACCACTGGTTATAAATTCAAGATGGTGTTGGCATATGCTCACTTTCCAATCATTATCAATCTCTTAGAAAAAGGTATGGGAGTTGAAATCAAGAATTTCCTTGGTGAAAAGATCATCAGAACCATCTAATGTCTTCCAGGAGTCACAATCACAAGAAATGAAACTGAAGAAAAGAGTATTATAATAATCATATACACACTTTAGATGTCTTAACACTTTAAGGTAATGATTTGAATAATGTTTCACTTACCTGTGCACTTATCCATTAAGCTTGTGCTGTTAAGAATAAGGATATCAGACAATTCTTGGATGGAATTTATGTTAGTGAAAAGCGTCTAGAAATTTGATAAATTTATATTTAGATATAAGTACAATAATATTTATATGTGTTTAATANACCAGAGCAAGTTTTATAATTTTCAATGAAGAAGAAATGTTTTTCAGAAAATTTATAAATTAAACTATTAGTTTTTTTAATTATTTCCTCTCCTTTATTAGACATATCATTTATTCTAATGACTGAGTATTCTTATTTCTAAGCCCAGAAATTAGTTGTTTCTTATAGCGTTTGTTTAACTTTTAAGGAATTTTCATCAAAAGCATTTGAAGTAGAATTAAGTTTTAATTCAAATTTAGTATAATTTTTAGAATAATATTGCGCCTAATTTAAATACAGAATTATACTTCCTATTTAATTTCATAAAAGTGTTTGCCTAGTTCCTTGAGTAAAGCATATTGATTTTATAAGTCGCTTTAGAAGTGAGACATATGATAATGAATTCCATTGAATAGATCACTATTATATTAGCGGCTAATTTAAATCATTTCATTATTGAATGATTCAAGAGCCTTACTCTGACGTTTTATGAGCTATTTAAATAATTTATAGTCTTTGTGTTGTTAACTAAGTTTATCTATTAGTTCTCTAATAATATAAGTTTAATTTGACATAATAATTAAATTAAAATTAGATATATGTATAATTAAGCTTTATGTCAAGAGAAGAAGTTAATTGTGATAATTTATATGATGAAAAATTTGTATATAGTTGTAGTATAATGATTATAATAATTAATATTACGGGTTAAGACTTCAAAAATTTAATTAAAAGAATTAAAAGATATGAAATACATCCTGACTGAGGAGCATGTTACAATTCCTGAGAAGATTGAAATCACAACCAAATCCAAGTAGGTCAAAGTAAAAGGTATTTGTGCATATTAAGTAATATTAGGACCAAGAGGTGAATTGATCAAAAACTTTAAACATGCTGCTTTAGATATCTAGGTGTAAAAAAAAGTGAACAAAAAATCAAATACTACTAAGTCTAGAGTCAGTGTTAGAATGTGGCAATCATATAGAAAATAAAGATGCCAAGTTAATTCAGTTGCCTCTTCAATTAAAAATATGATTAGAGGTGTGACCACTGGTTATAAATTCAAGATGGTGTTGGCATATGCTCACTTTCCAATCATTATCAATCTCTTAGAAAAAGGTATGGGAGTTGAAATCAAGAATTTCCTTGGTGAAAAGATCATCAGAACCATCTAATGTCTTCCAGGAGTCACAATCACAAGAAATGAAACTGAAGAAAAGAGTATTATAATAATCATATACACACTTTAGATGTCTTAACACTTTAAGGTAATGATTTGAATAATGTTTCACTTACCTGTGCACTTATCCATTAAGCTTGTGCTGTTAAGAATAAGGATATCAGACAATTCTTGGATGGAATTTATGTTAGTGAAAAGCGTCTAGAAATTTGATAAATTTATATTTAGATATAAGTACAATAATATTTATATGTGTTTAATATTTACTCAATAGTTACGTCTCTCTCTATTGGCTTTATTCATCCTCTTGATTTTCTTTCTTCTTTGTTTTCTTTTGGCTTTCTTAAGTTTGGCAGGTTTTCTTCTGAAAGTGCTAATTGTCAATATTGAAATATCAGGCAAGATAGGCTTAGTGAAACCCATACTCAACAGATTTGTATACAAATGCAGTTATGGGTATTGCATCCAAATCAAAGGTCTAGATGCATTTATCAATCTCGATGCCATACCCAGCATCAACCTTAAATTCATAAAATAAATTAATAAATATATTTATTTTTAACAAAAACCATTTTAAATCAAATTTTCTTTAACTATTGGTATGCTTCCTTAAACTACTTATAATCTAAATCATTTTTCTAAAGGAATCGAATTCCCTTTTAATAAACCAATTACCAAGACTTTCTATTTTAAGAACATTATAAATCTAAATATAACAAAGCAAGTAAAGTCAACCAGATATTTTAAGGGTAATTTTGTGAATTCTTCCATCCTTCAAAATTTAGATTCTATTCAACTTTTTCATCATATTAGAAGCTACCATCAGCTTTAGCATATGAAATTATCTATTCATATTCAATCTTTTGAATTTAGATGATCTGCATAGCTGAAATTTCCTTAGAATGAGTATGAATTTTAGGTAAATTCTTTATTCTTTCTCTTTCTCTTTCTCTTGATCTACTTTTTTTTTTTTATTCTATTTCTCTTACTTCATCAGTTGTNTCACTATTATATTAGCGGCTAATTTAAATCATTTCATTATTGAATGATTCAAGAGCCTTACTCTGACGTTTTATGAGCTATTTAAATAATTTATAGTCTTTGTGTTGTTAACTAAGTTTATCTATTAGTTCTCTAATAATATAAGTTTAATTTGACATAATAATTAAATTAAAATTAGATATATGTATAATTAAGCTTTATGTCAAGAGAAGAAGTTAATTGTGATAATTTATATGATGAAAAATTTGTATATAGTTGTAGTATAATGATTATAATAATTAATATTACGGGTTAAGACTTCAAAAATTTAATTAAAAGAATTAAAAGATATGAAATACATCCTGACTGAGGAGCATGTTACAATTCCTGAGAAGATTGAAATCACAACCAAATCCAAGTAGGTCAAAGTAAAAGGTATTTGTGCATATTAAGTAATATTAGGACCAAGAGGTGAATTGATCAAAAACTTTAAACATGCTGCTTTAGATATCTAGGTGTAAAAAAAAGTGAACAAAAAATCAAATACTACTAAGTCTAGAGTCAGTGTTAGAATGTGGCAATCATATAGAAAATAAAGATGCCAAGTTAATTCAGTTGCCTCTTCAATTAAAAATATGATTAGAGGTGTGACCACTGGTTATAAATTCAAGATGGTGTTGGCATATGCTCACTTTCCAATCATTATCAATCTCTTAGAAAAAGGTATGGGAGTTGAAATCAAGAATTTCCTTGGTGAAAAGATCATCAGAACCATCTAATGTCTTCCAGGAGTCACAATCACAAGAAATGAAACTGAAGAAAAGAGTATTATAATAATCATATACACACTTTAGATGTCTTAACACTTTAAGGTAATGATTTGAATAATGTTTCACTTACCTGTGCACTTATCCATTAAGCTTGTGCTGTTAAGAATAAGGATATCAGACAATTCTTGGATGGAATTTATGTTAGTGAAAAGCGTCTAGAAATTTGATAAATTTATATTTAGATATAAGTACAATAATATTTATATGTGTTTAATATTTACTCAATAGTTACGTCTCTCTCTATTGGCTTTATTCATCCTCTTGATTTTCTTTCTTCTTTGTTTTCTTTTGGCTTTCTTAAGTTTGGCAGGTTTTCTTCTGAAAGTGCTAATTGTCAATATTGAAATATCAGGCAAGATAGGCTTAGTGAAACCCATACTCAACAGATTTGTATACAAATGCAGTTATGGGTATTGCATCCAAATCAAAGGTCTAGATGCATTTATCAATCTCGATGCCATACCCAGCATCAACCTTAAATTCATAAAATAAATTAATAAATATATTTATTTTTAACAAAAACCATTTTAAATCAAATTTTCTTTAACTATTGGTATGCTTCCTTAAACTACTTATAATCTAAATCATTTTTCTAAAGGAATCGAATTCCCTTTTAATAAACCAATTACCAAGACTTTCTATTTTAAGAACATTATAAATCTAAATATAACAAAGCAAGTAAAGTCAACCAGATATTTTAAGGGTAATTTTGTGAATTCTTCCATCCTTCAAAATTTAGATTCTATTCAACTTTTTCATCATATTAGAAGCTACCATCAGCTTTAGCATATGAAATTATCTATTCATATTCAATCTTTTGAATTTAGATGATCTGCATAGCTGAAATTTCCTTAGAATGAGTATGAATTTTAGGTAAATTCTTTATTCTTTCTCTTTCTCTTTCTCTTGATCTACTTTTTTTTTTTTATTCTATTTCTCTTACTTCATCAGTTGTAAAACCAGTATTCATTTCTTTTTATTATAAATATTCAACTTTATCTTAATATTAACAAACTATTCTATCTTAATTAATTTATTATTTCATGTAGTTTTCTTCTTTCATTTTTGGTTTTCTTAAATTACCAGAACAAAAAAAAAGGAGACATGGTTTTGTGAGTAAAGGTTCAATTTATAACCTTTTGATTAAACATTAATGTTAATTATCCTATTCGAAATCAACTTTATTTTAAGTGATACATACTTTTTACTTCATCTGCTATTTTAATTGATCATCTAATTCGCAAACTTCACAAACAAATGCTGTTTTAGTACTCAATATTTGATGTGCTATTGATGTGTTAATTATATCTTGATCTTGTATTTTCTCCTTATTAATTTTGATAAAATTTAGATGTTTGTCACCATAATTCAAACTGTTTTCATAATAGGTAATAAACTTATGTGAAGCTAACTTATGAAAATATTCATTTTCTTAAGAATCCTTTAAATTTAATGTAACTGAATATTTTATTGGCTTTTAATCTTGTGGATCAAAACAACTCAAAGTAAATTACAAATTATCGATCTCCTGTTCTATAGAAAAGAATGCCTAAATAGTTAATTCTTAGTTCTTCTTTAAGCATACAATAGATTCCGGATTTGGAACTATTTAAGTAATGTTGCATATATTTGTTTCAAGATTAAATCCTTTTAAATAAGGTGTTAATGAATCTTCTAATAAATCAATCACTTTAGCATTTATGTCTTCGATGTCTGAAACAAATTAGAATTTTCCGTTTCCCACTTCAGCCAAACGTTTAATTAAATTTTAGCTGCATCCTTATCCAATTCCTAAAGTATAAATTCTGGTTTCTGCTTAATTGTTCTTCTTTACCAAATCTATTATAGGGGTGGCTTCTACTTCTCCATCTGTAAGTAAGAATATATTCAAGGTGGTCGTTTTTGATTTACCATACGATTTATTGTAGACAATTTCAGACAAGGGTCTTAGAATTTCTGTCCCCAACATATTCGCTTCCATATTATAAACATGATTTATGGCCTACTCTAAGGTATCCTAGGAATATTAAATAGAATCAGACCATAAAGATTCAAACTTTGTCCCAAATGAAATTATGTTGAATCTGCAGTCTTCAGGTAAGCTTTTCAAGAATAAGATTAAAGATTATTTTGCTTTATAGATTTTGCTACCAGCCATTGATCCACTTCTGTCTATGAAGAATAAATAATTTCCTCTATTAATAAATTAATTCTATGCAATATTTAGTCCATCCAAGTATTGTGAATATGCATCATCTAAAGTAGTTTAATTAAACTTTGGAATAAAACTTAATGTAGCACAATACTTTTAAGTGAATAAAGCGTCATTATTTGTATGACTTAAAATTGCACGAGGGAGATTTATATCATCACTTGAAAAAAGTAGTGTAAATTATTTTTTTGGAATAAAGTTGGATGGAGTATCCTCTAAAATCAAAAATAACTCTCTTAAATGTTCTTCTTCCATTTTCGACTTTACATTTTCATTATTTGCTCTACAACTTACAATAGAGTGTGTAGGGCATTTATAATACGTAATTGGGGAACCGATATCAATTTATACAGAAATATCTTGTTTGAAATTGTAATCAAATTAGTCAATCTAAACATATTTCTAAATATATCTATTCACTCTATTTAAATATTAGCTCTAACTTCTAAACTCTTAAAATTATAAATTTAAGTAATTCTGATCAATCATTGGGGAAACTTCTACCTTCCAAAATTTATTTAAAAACACATCTAAGGGTTGGATGTATTCAAATAATATTTTTAATTATTTCTATGGAGCGAGGGCCCCAATTTTAACTCTTTTGATTTCCGGGATTTACTCATCTTCTTCGCTATACGCCATTGTTTTACCTTACTTAATCCCTTCTTCATATTCTTATTTTGCTTCCACTTTCTCCTTAATTATTCCATATACTTTGTTATCCCCTAATTCAACAATCATTTTTGTGACTGCTGCATTTTGATTAATTGAAAATAAGTATTCTACCTCTATTGGCTGTTGGTAACATAAAGTTGAATAAATTTATTATATTTCCACTATTACTAAACCTTGCAAGACCTTTAAAAAATAATGAACTCCTTATAAAGGTATTGGAATTTTTTTTTTTTAGTCATAACAAATAATTAATCGATCAGGATATGAGCAAGAGATTTTCTTCTCATTCAAATCATGCTGTTTCGAAACTATCTATGGTTCAAACAACTAATTTCCTTTCATTAATCACAATAAAAAAGATAGAAACTTATTTACTAATAAATGATGAATTTCTGACAATTCCTTAAATTTTAATGGAACATTATTCATTTATACTTTTCATATTAATTTACAAAATCAATACACAATATTTTTTTGTTGTTGTACTAATAATCATATATTTTATATTTTGAATAATATTCTAATTTTATCTATTTATTAATATTATCTTATTACATAAGTTAAGATGCTTTAATAGATGTTGTTATTTGTTTCTTCCTTTTAGTACAATTATCTGATAAATTCAAAAGGATTAAAATTAATTGCTTTAATTTGAAACTCTTTTATATTTTCTTTTTAAATTAATTAATATTTGTATAAGATTGTTGTAAATTACTTAAATTATATAATTCAACTAATCATCATTAATATTTTTCATATTAAATAATTTTCAAAATTAATCTAAAGGTTAAAGTCAAATTGCTAACTATAATATTTCCATATTATACTTCTTTATTTATTATTCACTATAATATTATGATATAGAGATTAAATCCTAATAATTCAGATTAAAATAATTATTAATTTTACATTAGTGTTAATATTCTAATTTACTAAGCAGATTAAGAAAGCTTAATTCTTATATATTTTTATTGATAAAGACATAATAATTTCATTTTTTATCTTAAAATAGAAATAATGATCTTTATACTGATACTGACCAAATAATTTACATTTCTATAATATAATTAAATTATCCATTGATAATAAATTCTAATTTATAATGATTTAATAATATCCAATATCATCATATAATTATAGAAGTAATTATCTATTATACTTATTTCTAATTGTTAACTTATAATTTCTAATTTAATCTTATTATTACAATTATTTCCTTAATACTTATAATGATCTAAAAATGAATTTATCATTTATTTTATGTATTTAATTTTTTTGCCTTAATACTTATAATAGTATAATAATACATACTTTAATCCTATAATTAAAATAATTATAGCTATTACTTATTATTTATAATGAGCTAAGAATTTTAAATTTAACCGTATTTTTTATAATTTTAGATTTAATACTTATAATTTATAATGATCTTCAAAAATTAAATATACTATCTTATTTTTGAAATAAATATATTTAATATTTATATA